TATGTATATGTGTATGTATGTATGTGTGTATGTATGTATGTATGTATGTATGTATGTATGTATGTATGTATGTATGTATGTATGTATATGCATGTATGTATGTGTGTGTATGTATGTATGTGTGTATGTATGTATGTATGTATGTATGTATGTTTTTGTGCATTGTTTAACGGTATATATAAACAAGAATGTAGAGTATTCAGCTGACGAGTACTATTAACATTTATGAATTCATTAAATCCTGTTTTTTTTTCATATTTGTTACTTGTTTTATATTTGTATCAGAAAACATATGTTTTCAAAAGATATCCCTTCAGTTAGAGTAGATCAACAATCAATTTGAGACATTCCACGAATATAAAACAATTAGTTTCCTTTATAAACTTCTACAAAACAACAAGAAGACGTAAATTGTCTAAACCGTGTAATGTATTTGCGCAACACATTTCGAACTATCTGATCGCACATGTACTTGTCATAGGTATTTATATAAAAACTCATGAAGATAAGGGGTGAGAAAATAAAAAGGAGGTCAGGTAGGAAGGCTGACTTAAAGGCTGAATAACAATGAAAATCAATAGAGCGAAAAAATAGTTGAATTTACCAAGGCGAAGATTTAATGTGACAACAAATTGTTTATGAACACATAAAGGTGGTTTCAACTTTCTTATAGCTAAGGCTTCAACAAATTTCAGGATCCCTCCCCAACATGTTTTGTAAATAGGTGTAAAGGAAGTAGCCACATCAATCTTGTGACCTGTTTCAACGATATGTTTGGCGATCGAAGAACTTGGACGTCTGCTACCAACATTTATAGGTTCAGGTGATTTAATTTGCTTCTGAAGCCACTTTGGAATATGTTCCGAGGCCCTTACTTGCATGGATCTATTAGTCCTCCCTATGTATGTGTCACCACACGTACATTTGAATTGGTAGATACAATGGGATGTGACATTATCGTTCACATGCTGTGGGGGTTTGGGGGAATATAAGGGCTTCGTGGTTTCGATTACTCGAACCCTGGCTGCATAGTAAGTCCTTCTAACAGCAGCGTTAAGTCTCTGCTTAAGGATTGCACTCTGAGAGTCACCTTTGTACGGAAGGCTGATGAAGACATCCTTCTTTGGGACTGACTGCAGTTCTAGTTTTGACGCTCTGCTGATTTTGTTCTGCCTGATAAATGTTGATGGATAGTTATTTTCCAACAAAATATCGGTCAGTGTTCCTCTTTCATCTTCTAAAGTATCCTCGGTGCATATTCGTTGAATTCTGCTGAATAAGCACCTTACTAACGTTCGCTTGTACTGAACTGGGCAAAAGCTATGGTAATTCAGATATTGCCCTGTCCATGTAGGTTTTCTGTAGATAGATCGTTTTATGGATCCATCCTGCCTTCGACTAATTAATATATCTAGGAACGGCAAGCAGTCATCTTCCTCTCTTACACATGTCAAAGATATGCTGTTCTGTACTTCGTTCAGTCGGTTTAGAATTGAAGTAGCCTGATTTGAGTTTTCACAAATAATCAGGATATCGTCAACATATCTTCGATACAGATGGGCTTGGTCTATTAAGTTCTCGGCTAAGTTCTCAACGTGTGACATAAATATGTCGGCTAGGAGGGGACCTAAAGGACTTCCCATAGCGACACCATCAACCTGGCGGAAATGTTCGCCCTCAAAGGTGAATTTAATATTGTTTGTACATAAAAGTAACAGCTGTTTTAGGTGATCCAAAGTAATGGGTATCGGAAACTTATGCACAGAAATATAACCACATAAAATGTCAATTGTCTTGACCAAAGGGACATTGGTAAATAATGAGTTAACATCAAATGAACACATAAATTTACTCTTTATGTTGACATGCTCAAGGCATTTGATTACTTCAAATGTATCTTTTAAGGAATACTTACAAAATTGCTTCTTAATGGGATCCAATAACTCCACTAGCCACTGGGCAAGCTTATGCGTTGGCGACTTACACATTGACATTATGGGACGTAAGGGGTTGTTGGGTTTATGTACTTTGGGCAAACCGTAAAGATGTGGGAATCGGGATTCAGTTGGTTTCAGTAGGGCGAATTTTTGACTGGTAATGACGTTCATTTCGAGCAGTTTCACTAGATTAGCGGTCACAGTTCCCTGTAACAATTGTACGTCTTCTGAAGAACAATCCTTAGTGAATTTATTTTCATCTTCAAGAATCGATGACATTTTACACTTATATTCGATTTTATCCATGATTACGACACCTGAGCCTTTGTCAGGTCTGAGGATAATAATATCAGGGTTCTCTCGTAGTTCCTTCATAGCTCTGAAATGTTCAGAAGTTAGAATGCTTTTATGGTACTGATGGCTATCACAAAACTGGTGAGCGATATCCACCATCTTGGCTTTCAGCCATCCCTGGTCCTCAATTGAAGTTGGGACGAATAAATAATAATCAATTTATCAGCATACTGCATCCCCTCTCTTCAATCAACCGGATCATGTAGGCCTTCTCAGTTCACTCAACTAAAAAAGACAACCAATCAAAAATTAGTGTATCTAAATAAATGAAGTAACTATATGCCAAATAATTCACAATGGGAAACTCACTGATGCCTATGAAGTGAAGATAAGAGTAAAACAAAGCTGCCTACTATCACCATTGATATTCCTGAATGTGCTTGACTGGATCATGCAACAAACAGTGACGAGCGAGAAGGGGGGGATAAGCTGGACTGCAGAAAACAGTCTAGAAGATTTAGATCTCGCCAACGATGATGATTTATGTCTAATGTCACACAAACTTGAAGACGTACAGGCGAAAACTAACAAGCTGACAGGAGAGACAGACAGGGTAGCGAATACGGGACTTCAAGTGAACGTAGAGAAGACAGAGGTGATGAAGATACCCAACCAACACCAACACCAACAACAACAACAACAAGCTCTAATCAACATCAGCAGAAGGAGCTTAGAGGAAGTAGCCTCTTTCACCTATCTAGGCAGCACTACTTCAACTACAGGTGGCACATGCACAGATGAGGACGTCAAAGCCAGCCAGGATCAGAAAAGCAAGACAGGATTTCCTGAATTAACCTGAAACCAGTGTGGAAATCTGCACTCAGTATGTGGAACAAGATCCGGATTTTCAACATCAGTCCAGTCAAGTCAGTGCTTCTATGTAGCTCAGAGACTTGGCACGCCACGAAAGGCATTTCCAACAAATTACAGACACTCATCAACAACTGCCTAAGCTGGCTTTTTACTGAAGATCAAATGGCCAGAAACAATAAACAACAAGAAACTCTGGTTAGCTGGCTGGCAACGAACCAACGAAGCAAGAACCTATCGCTGAACAAATATGCACTGGACGGAAGTAGAGATTGATTGGGCATACGCTGAGAAAGCCGACTGGGGACATCACGCGTCAGGCCAGTTTCTCGAGTGGAACCCAGATGGGAAACGATGAGTTGGATGTCCGAGGTGAAGGTGACATGTAGGAGATCGTGCGAGGAAGAAATGAGAGCGTGTGGGCTTTCGTGGAGCCAGGTTCAAAAGTTTTCAGAGACGTGCTACTGAAGCCTTATGTTCCAAGGGATAAATAATAATGATAATAATATATAAATAAAGTAAACCAACTACATAGTCGTTTACTTATCTGAAATCAACTCACTAATGTGAAATTACTTGACGTAATTATAGTTGAAATTCATATAAATAGGATAGTTATTCACTTTGGTTGGTTAAATAAAAATAAACGAAATTACTCACTTCTTACTGGTACTTTTTTTACACTTGTGTCTAATCTGTCATATATTTTATATCAGTTCTTGTAGTATGTAACAAATTTCGTAGTGTTTCTTTCACTCCTTCCTAGTTCATTGAATTGTCGTTAGATGCTTTGCATCTGACACAATTTAGTGTTAGAAAATTTTGGCTTAGACACCCGTAGAAAAAATATACTTGTTCTCTTATGAATCCCTGATTCTTGGCTGTGTTCTCTCATTTCCAAATAATAAGAAAAGTTTGACAGTTGTATGATTTTGAGATGATGGAGAATATTTTTAGCTCAAAAGGATAATTTTGTTAGTGTTGTGTTTTCTCAGCTAGATGATTCGATTGTTAGGCTTTAATTGTCATTATACACAACACTACATCAAAATTTCATAGCTTCCAAAAACATGTAAAAGGGAGTGAATTATTAAAGAACTAATGTTTTAAACTCAACTATCTCTGGGTTATTTCTACATTGAGGTACTTGTTCACTAGTTGTTGTGTCAAAATTGTAACGCGACTGATCGAGTTGTGGTTCAAATGCTTATTTCACCTTCACTCATCACCCAGTATAAAGCAATATCAGTCAACTAATTTAGTTCACTGAATTTGCAACAAACTACAGACATTCATCAACAACTGCATAAGCTGGCTCTTTACTGAAGATCAGATGACCGGAAAGAATAAACAACAAGAACTCTGGTTAGCTGGCTGGCAACGAACCAACGAAGCAAGAACCTGTCGCTGAACAAATATACACTGGAATGAAGTAGAGATTGATTGGGCATACGCTGAGAAAGCCGACTGGGGACATCACGCGTCAGGCCAGTTTCTCGAGTGGAACCCAGATGGGAAACGATGAATTGGGTGTCCGAGGTGAGGGTGACATATAGGAGATCGTGCGAGGAAGAAATGAGAGCGTGTGGGCTTTCGTGGAGCCAGGTTGAAAGACTGCAGAGAAGAGAGTGGAATAGAGACATGCTACTGAAGCGGTATGTTCCACTAGGAACCCAAAGGATAAATAAATAATAAATATAATTTAGTTCACTGTTCTTTTTTCGTTTCTCATACCCTTTTACTCATCAGTCAGTGGACAACTTTACAAGAGGACGGAATAGTATTTATTGAGAGTGTATATTAAAACATATCCCATTGTATTTAATTATACTTAGGAAGTAGTCAGTTCAATGACTCCATTTTACTTTGATTTTCACTTTTGGTTATTTTTTTCAAAAGATTCGATTCCCATGTAGCAGCTACTCAAGCAATAGTTACAATGCATGGAAAAATTGTTGGTGATCAAGCATGTAAATGTTCATGGGGTAAAGAACCGACCTTTTCGAATAAACAGGGATTGGTAAGTTTAGCTACCTTTATTGTAATCTTCAGTAGTATCTAGAAAACACTTCAAACAAATATCGTAATAATTATTATATATGGATATGTTTGTAATTCTTCGTTGTCTTACTCGATCGAATTGTTCAGCTTCTGTTGGTATATGGGCTCCTATGCAGATGCCTCGATATTGTCTGAATGTTAACTATGGTTATTTACTTGATTGCAACTAGCAAAAAAACCTACGATGCCCGTTTCATCACATTTGGGACTCGTCAGTTGGATGCACCTAAATCCCGGTGAATGATGTTGTTCCTGGAGAGACTCAAACCTCGGTAGGCTGCAGAGCCACGACAGCCACCTCTTGTACAATAGATATTAGTTATTAATATTTATTGATATCCTTTTGATTCTCCGTTGAGGATGCCTCGATATTGCCTAAATGGTAATTACCGTGACTTGATTGGTTGTGGCTAGCAGAAGAATCCAAGATGAGCACTTCCTGTTATTCGTTCAAGCAAAGTATTATAATAATTTGAGACTTTATATTAACCAATATTATCTTGATTAACAGGTGAACAATGATTATTGTATCTGTATACTTCAATGGAATAGCTTACTAAACCAGTAGATATAAAACATAAGTTAAGCTCTCATAGATAAATTGACAAAGCGTCGATTTTTTTTATTGTTACAAAATGTATTTAATTTCACTTGTTAACTGATGTAGGTGAATGATAAAATTAGAATACAAAGTTGAACTATTCATTTAAATAATGTTTCAATAAAGTAATAGGTGAAAAGTTTCCAACTATCACGTTTCCTTTTGATTTTTCTGTCTTCTTACACCTTTTTCTAGTTGTCGATTATTTTTCAATCAAATATTCACTGAAAAACTGTCAGATTTTGTAATAAATTAAAAAATTTTTTCAAAAAAGGAAATACCTTTTCAATTACTTCTTTATTCTTGTATGATAGAATACTCATTTACATTATTCTATTCACTTGAACAATGGAAAGTGTTTACTAGTCTGATTTCTCAGGATATGCTTTTTCAATGTTAGGGATAATCCAATTTAGTGTATGAAATAGATCTGATTTCATCAACTATCTCAATGTATAAAATACAAAATTCGTTTGATTTCTAAAAAAACTTAGGATTGATCTCATAGTTTCAAATAAAAAGTATTTTCATTCATGAAATTCCTTCCCATCGAAGCAATTAAAATAAGAAACTGTGAAACTGTCTCCTCATTTGTAATTGATAACAGCAGTACATTAAATCTAACCAACAAAAAAACACATGGTATAATTTACGACAATTCATAATAGCTTAGAACTCATCTGATGATTATAATACTCTTATGAAACAGCTAGTTCCCTTTGTATGAATTTCTATAGCGTAATTAGAAACATCGACAGAACTGATATCGTGTCTGAGATTTGATCCCGCGTCATCCAGTAATGTAGTGAGTGACTTTATCACTGAGCTGTTCAGGATGCGATTGACATCCTGTAAGACTGGCTTACATGTATTAATTGGTCATGGGAGTGAATGATATTTAGAAAGCAAAAATTACAAGTTGTACCTAAACGAGATTGTTACTTTATACAATGAGGGTAAGTTTGTAAGGAAAGTAACAAGAAATACTAACTAATAACTAACCACGTAATATCCACAAGATTGAGACCAACTTAATCAGTTGAAGTCAGTTGCTGAGTTAGTTGAAGAAATGTATAATTAGAATTTTGAAAAAAGATTAAAAATTTAGTCATCATAGGAATGAAGAATTGATCATACTGTCTTATTGTATGTGTACATATATAGTTAAGAGGATTTTTTAGCAATAGCCTACACTCATTATTGCTTGATTTAGTAAATTACTCAATAGTTTTCATTTTCATGCCTTTGGTTCCCTCCCCATGGTAAATATAGGAGAGGATGACGTCATTTTAAATGATACGTAACCGTTGCATGCATACAGCCTAAAAATATAACAGTCTTGATAACAACATTACATAGTCACATACTTTAACTGTTTTGATGTTGTATTCTCTCACATGGATGGTTTAATCGTGAAACTTTCATTGTTGTTCCATACAACATTATCAGCAAAAACTTCAGAAAGAGGTGAGCTTTCTCCATAAGTTGCTTAGTAGCTTATCCTGATGACCTCATGTGTGATTAGTTGCTTCCGCCAAAGTCTTGTCATTGTCTCTATATTTATTTCGATTGGTTGTCTGATGACGTGAATGTTGACCTTCCTGTTTGTTTTTTTATCACCTGATAGATTGGGTCAATGTCAGTATGTCTGTTGATCACTGACTGACGTGAAGCCAAGCCCCTAGAGATTCTGTGACAATCTTTTATATTTCCTCTATCCTCTACATTTTCCCAGTCAAACTTATACCCCTATGCATTAGGACAAATAATGAATCATATAAAAGGCTATCAAGACAAGCTGGAAAGCCTATATGGGGTGAAAAGCCAGTAGCTCACTTCTTTCTGAAGTTTATTCTGATAATGTTGCCTAGAATGACAATATAACCTTCACAATTAAACCATTCAGCTGAGAGAACACAATAACGTCGAAATCATGTATCTAAGCTACAAATATTCTCTATCATCTCAAAACACTTTAATTAGAGTATATTAGAGAATAACATTTATTGACTGGTCATGGGAGTGTAACCAATTTCCTGTTGTCTAGTCCTGAGTGCAGACCAAATTCATCGATCATATTTGCAATGTGGCAATCAGGCTAGGAAGTTCAGCATCGCGGTTTGAGGCAATCGAGAGAGAGCCCTGGACCTAAGTTTCGTGCGTTTTGGCACTCGTCAGCAAAAAATATCTGCAACATCGACAGAACTGATATCGTGTCTGAGATTTGATCCCGCGTCATCCAGTAATGTAGTGAGTGACTTTATCACTGAGCTGTTCAGGATGCGATTGACATCCTGTAAGACTGGCTTACATGTATTAATTGGTCATGGGAGTGAATGATATTTAGAAAGCAAAAATTACAAGTTGTACCTAAACGAGATTGTTACTTTATACAATGAGGGTAAGTTTGTAAGGAAAGTAACAAGAAATACTAACTAATAACTAACCACGTAATATCCACAAGATTGAGACCAACTTAATCAGTTGAAGTCAGTTGCTGAGTTAGTTGAAGAAATGTATAATTAGAATTTTGAAAAAAGATTAAAAATTTAGTCATCATAGGAATGAAGAATTGATCATACTGTCTTATTGTATGTGTACATATATAGTTAAGAGGATTTTTTAGCAATAGCCTACACTCATTATTGCTTGATTTAGTAAATTACTCAATAGTTTTCATTTTCATGCCTTTGGTTCCCTCCCCATGGTAAATATAGGAGAGGATGACGTCATTTTAAATGATACGTAACCGTTGCATGCATACAGCCTAAAAATATAACAGTCTTGATAACAACATTACATAGTCACATACTTTAACTGTTTTGATGTTGTATTCTCTCACATGGATGGTTTAATCGTGAAACTTTCATTGTTGTTCCATACAACATTATCAGCAAAAACTTCAGAAAGAGGTGAGCTTTCTCCATAAGTTGCTTAGTAGCTTATCCTGATGACCTCATGTGTGATTAGTTGCTTCCGCCAAAGTCTTGTCATTGTCTCTATATTTATTTCGATTGGTTGTCTGATGACGTGAATGTTGACCTTCCTGTTTGTTTTTTTATCACCTGATAGATTGGGTCAATGTCAGTATGTCTGTTGATCACTGACTGACGTGAAGCCAAGCCCCTAGAGATTCTGTGACAATCTTTTATATTTCCTCTATCCTCTACATTTTCCCAGTCAAACTTATACCCCTATGCATTAGGACAAATAATGAATCATATAAAAGGCTATCAAGACAAGCTGGAAAGCCTATATGGGGTGAAAAGCCAGTAGCTCACTTCTTTCTGAAGTTTATTCTGATAATGTTGCCTAGAATGACAATATAACCTTCACAATTAAACCATTCAGCTGAGAGAACACAATAACGTCGAAATCATGTATCTAAGCTACAAATATTCTCTATCATCTCAAAACACTTTAATTAGAGTATATTAGAGAATAACATTTATTGACTGGTCATGGGAGTGTAACCAATTTCCTGTTGTCTAGTCCTGAGTGCAGACCAAATTCATCGATCATATTTGCAATGTGGCAATCAGGCTAGGAAGTTCAGCATCGCGGTTTGAGGCAATCGAGAGAGAGCCCTGGACCTAAGTTTCGTGCGTTTTGGCACTCGTCAGCAAAAAATATCTGCAACATCGACAGAACTGATATCGTGTCTGAGATTTGATCCCGCGTCATCCAGTAATGTAGTGAGTGACTTTATCACTGAGCTGTTCAGGATGCGATTGACATCCTGTAAGACTGGCTTACATGTATTAATTGGTCATGGGAGTGAATGATATTTAGAAAGCAAAAATTACAAGTTGTACCTAAACGAGATTGTTACTTTATACAGTGAGGGTAAGTTTGTAAGGAAAGTAACAAGAAATACTAACTAATAACTAACTACGTAATATCCACAAGATTGAGACCAACTTAATCAGTTGAAGTCAGTTGCTGAGTTAGCTGAAGAAATGTATAATTAGAATTTTGAAAAAAGATTAAAAATTTAGTCATCATAGGAATGAAGAATTGATCATACTGTCTTATTGTATGTGTACATATATAGTTAAGAGAATTTTTAGCAATAGCCTCTGTGAAGAGTAATCATCTAGTCATTTTCTGTACATTTAAGAGTCTAAAAACCAAAGCAGAATTAACTTGATCTCCTTGAACTTGGGGATGCCTACTGTTAGTACTAGGATGAAGCTTATTTTACCGATTGAAAGTTCTCTTCTCAATTTTTCCAGCTTACTTGATATCCAAAGTGCAAGTCAATCCACCAACATAATTAGAAGTGATATATATGAAAAGAATATTTATACAGTTTAGACCATATTATATAACGGTACGCATGTTTTGGTTGCATTACTTCGATTCTCATATCTGCTTTTATTCGACATACATCTTTCTTGAGTGGCAAGTGAGTGAAATCCTACTCCTACTACTACTACTTCTTCTTCTACCCAACAGATGAACGCAATTTTTTCTCATCTGGTGTTTTCTTAAAAAGCGTTGACTCAATAATAACCTACTAGTCGGGGAATCTGAAGGTCATGGGTATGCATTTCTCAGGAGTCCACTACAACGACAAAATAGCTGTCCAGTACTCCTGGGTTGTCAGTAGTTTTCCAATTGATATTATCCAGTAATTAATACCAACTTGAAATCAATAAACAAATCTTGACAAAGCTACATAGTGAAAACCAGCAAATTTGAGACAGTTAATCCCTTTCATGAATTTCGATAGCGTAATTAGAAACAAGGTTTATCCGAACAATGTATGTCATGTATTTACTCAATACATTCACGAACAATCTGATCCCTCACACATTTACTTATCAAGTCAATATATATCAAATCGAAGCGTAGGAGGATGAATACAACAGTCAAGATAACCAGGGGATTAAACTTAATAAAGATGAGGAGAAAGAGGAAGTGACATAGTTGATCCTAATCTTGGTAAGAAAACAAATTTTACCAAGGTAGATAGGTGTAGTGTAAGAATAAATCCATTTTGTACACATTAAGGTGGTTTCAATTTGTGTATGGTTATGACTTCCGTGGATCTCAGTATACATCCTTGACTGTTTCCATATAGAACTTTGAAAGATGTTTGAACATCAACTTTGTGACCTGTTTCTATGATATTTTTTACCAGAGATGAAGAGGATCGTCTCACATCAGCGTTTATCACAGTTTCACACTCCATTTGTTTTTGAAGTCATCTAAGTACATATTCTCCCACCGTCAACTGCATGACTTGAATACCCCTCTCTATGTATGTCTGACCACAAAAACAGTTGGACGTGATGTAATCACTGATGGATTGTTTAGGTTTGTGGAGGAAGTATGTGTTTTGTTTTTTCTACAATGATAAGAATGGCTGCGTAATATGTTTTCTTAGTGGCTGATGTCAGCCTACGTCTCGAAATGATACTATTCAACTCCCATCTGTATGGTAGAGTGATATGGGCGCTTTTCTTTGGAACCGTGTACAGAGTTGGCTTTGGTGATACTTGACCTCCACAACGGTGTATTAACTTCATCGTATATCTAGTTTGCATAAGTGTTTTGGTCAGTAATTTGATATCTTCATCCATCGTATCTGGTGTACTGATACGACACATTAAACAGGCATTTATTAGACTATTTAGGTACATGTTCTCCCACCGTCAGCTGCATGACTCAGTTACTCGTCCCTATGTGTGTGTGACCGCACACACACACACACACACACACACATAGGTATTTAGGTTTGTGCTGAAGCATGTGCTGCGCAGCTACGCATCTACGACCCTCTTCATCTGTAGGCAAACATAGTATGGAAACAGGTCACAAAATTAATGTCCAAACATCTTTCAAAGTTTTATATAGATTTAAGGAAGTCATAATCATAAACAAATTGAAACCACCTTAATGTATACAAAATCAATTTATTCTTACACTAGACCTATCTACCTTGGTAAAATTTGTTTTCTTACCAAGATTAGGATCAATTATGTCACTTTCTCTTTCTCCTCATCTTTATTAAGTTTAATGCCCTGGTTACCTTGATTTTTGTATTCATCCTCCTACGCTTCTATTTGATATATATTGACTTGATAAGTAAATGTGTGAGGGATCAGATTGTTCTTAAATGTATTGAGTAAATTCATGACATACATTGTTCAGATAAACTTTGTCTTTTAATTACGCTATCGAAATACTCTTCTGGCTAGGTATAACATATTAACATAACCTCACTACCTATAATCTAGTACAAAATGCGCATCCTAGATTCCACTGTTAGCCACTAAACATCATTACTATGCATAATTAAAACACAGGCAATATAGAGACATCTGCACAGGAGCCCATATGCCAAGAGAGACTGATCAATTCGGTCCAATCAAGGACGGTATAATACAAGCAATAACACTGGTACAAAATAGCTGTAAGTCTTTGATAAACTGACAGATCTTATGTATTTAATGTCAAGGTATAGAGATAAACTGCTTTAAAACCAGACAGTTACATGCAAACTACCCAAGCGAATAAACAATATGACTGGTTATTGAATGGATTTCAGATAAATTTCATAAGGTTCTTATGAGAATTTGGATCTCTAAGGTTAATTAAATCGTATGTGTCTTGTTTCGTAGTTTTATCATATTCCACTAATAAATATCTTTGCAGAAAATAGTATTGTTAAGAAATACATCGTCAATGCCTTGCATCATCCACTTCACTGCAATCACAAACAGCCTTGAAGGAAAAATTGGATAGAGAATAACGACATTATTATTATTATTATTATTAACAACTTTCCTGGATAAAGATAATATCTTCAAAGATGTTAGTCAGATTGTCAGTATTCTGATTAAATTGTTGGTCTGAGTCATGTGGAGAGATGTAGACTACCTGACTGAGGTTCCGAAGTCGATAAGAATCAATGGTTGAAGATTCTTGATGCTGAGTTATGATGACACCTAACATTTGACTATCACTTGTATCATGGACCTTTTTTTGTAGGAAATGAAGGTAAAAAGATTAATGAGGGAAGAAGAGGGAGCCTAACACATCAAAGAAATCAGTGACTTGCTCTGCCAGTAGTAAAGGGATGAGGGAAAATTTACAACTGGACGTTGACCAAGAGAGTGTAACAGAATCCCTATAAATGGAGAACAGAGGATGAGAAGGCCTGGAGGCCATTGCTGGGGAAAAGTTTTGACTAGAAGGACAGGTGTTTGAGGGTTTTGAGGTCGATGTAGCTGCAGCTAAATAATGAGGCCGGTAGTCGGTGATAAGCTGTGTAGGTGCATTAGAGATGGTTGGATATTTGATGAATAGCGACGTTGGGTTACAAGAAAAACTAGAAAAGCTGAAGTTGATGAGTAAGTTACGGAAACGAAGAAGCAAAGCTTTGCATAATAACCTAGAAGCAGCTTCGTTCCAGTATGGAACTCTTCACACCACCAGGGATTAAACCCAGAACCTTCATATTCCTCTGTCAGCAGCTTAACAATGGTACAATACTTCAGATCTGCTTCTTCAGTCAATATTTTTAGGATAATTAGTACTTGAAACGGGAATATCTTACTAAAGATGACAGATAATACAGTGGACATATCTTATACAGGATAAAGAGAATACTGGTTAAAGATTCGCTCACTTTCTATGATCTCTGAAAGATTCCAGACTTCGATGTTTCTATGTCATAAATATCACAAAAGATAACTGTCCGTTACTTAGTGACCTTTCAAACACTATCAATCCTTAAAGGAGATTCGATTGGTTCTGTTTACTTAAGTTATAAATATATGCAATATATCTTCTCATGTCAACTTTTACAAATTTCATAGGAAATGTCAAAACCTTCTTCCAGAAGATTTAATTCCTGATATTACGTAAAATAACACTGGTTGGCATCAAACCAGAAAAAAACATTTCAACAATGGCGGTACTGGTCAGTATTCGATTCATTTAACTGGATATTGAAAACAGTTTTCTTAACGTAGAGAAGACAGAGACGATGAAGATACCCAACCAACAACAACAAAAAGCACTAATCGCCATCAAAGTGAAAGCAAGTTGTCGCTTTCACCTACCTACCTACCTACCTACCTACCTACCTACCTACCACCCCACACCTACCTACCTACCTACACACCTACCTACCAACCCACACCTACCTACCTACCTACCACCCCACACCTACCTACCTACCCACCTACCTACCTACCTACCTACCTACCTAGGCAGCATCGTTTCAGCTACAGGTGGCGGAACAGGCACAGATGGGTATGTCAAAGCCATGATCGGAAAGACAGCAAGATAGGCCTTCCTTCATCAATCTGAAATCAGTGTGGAGATCTACTGTACTGCACTGCACTCAGCATAAAGACTGAACAGGATTGAGATTTTCAACACTGCTAATATCAGTCAACTAAGTCAGTGCTTCCATGTGATGGTTGAGAGAGTTGGCGTGTCACCAAAAGTATTTCCAACAAACTATAGACATCATTCATGAACAGCTGCTATCTACACTCGCTCACTCGATAGTGGAGATCTGATCAGATGACCAGAATAACTAGAAATAGCAAGGAGGAATTCTGATTGACTGGCAACGAACCAACCGAGATCCCATCGCTAAACAAATGTGAATGAGAAAGTGGAGATGGATTGTATTGGATTGTATATGCACTGAGAAGACAGTTTGTTGACATCACGCGTCAGACCAGTCTGTCGAGTGGAAGCTAAATGAGAAACGACGATTTGAGCGTCTAATAGCGACGTGGAGGAGATCGCATGAGGAAGAAATGAAAGCTTTTGGGAAGTCATGTAGCTAGGTTAAGACTACCGCAGAGAAGAGATTGAAATGGCTATTCACTACTGAAGCCTCATGTCCCACTAGGAACCTAAGGGACACCTTTTTTGACTTTCATATTATAAATCAAGTTTTCTGTTTTCTTTTTTCAGGCAAAACGTTTATCATCCGCTTTATTTGTTCCATCTATAAACGATGATTCAAATGGAATACTTTTCAGATCACCAAACTCTTGGCCTAAATCACCAAATCAAAATAGCAATCTGATATTGGAGTTACCAGCAAAAAAGAGCGCCACTGAAAAGTTACATCAGTTTAATGTAAGCTATTTATCATCAGGAGATAAAACGTTAACAGTTACTAATAGTCAACAGTTTCCTGGTAGAAATATTTTTCATGATACAACTAAGATGAATAATACGACTGTTAATCCTACAGGTACAAACCCATTATGTCCTTATACATGTTGGCTTGCTGGAAATTCAAGTCAAGACGCTGCTATACCTACACTACTGCTTGACAATATAACTAGAGGATCATTATCGAATCAAACTCTTGTTCCACTTGTATCCTCAACAGATAATAACCCTTTACTTCTTGGTTTGTCAAATATTGATATGACAAAAAGGTAATTTTAGATAGTATTCTAGTTTTAAATCGCATTGTTTCCATATCAGATTTGTTTGTTTGATAAATAGTACACACTAATACAGTATTGGCAACTGGGGAACATCACGCACCAGGCCCTCAAGTGGAATCCAAAGGAGAAACAATGAGTTGCGCATCCGAGGTGAGAGTGACATGGAGAAAATAGTGTGAGGAATAAATAGAGCTTGTGGGCAGTGGTGGAAACAGTTTCAAAAGACTGGAGAGAAGAGAGTGGAATAAAGGCGTGCTAATGAATCCCTATGTTCCACTAGGAACCCAAGGGAAAAATAATAATAACAAAACAGTATTATTTACTTTGGTAATGTTTCGAGCAGAATTTATTCCATAAAGTATTAAGAAGACGCAGGTTATCTGAAAAACCTGATGTATTAGGCAATGCATTCTGAACAATATGGTCAGATATTAACTTGTCAAGACCTTTTATATGAAGGGTTAAATAGTGTGGGAGTAATATAAATAAATTCGGATAATCATTTGACTATCTCATACAGACGTGGTTTGCCAGACTAGTATTTATACTGGGTGATGATTGAAGGTGAAATTAAAATCAGAACCACGGTGGGATTCCAACTAGCAACCACCGGCTTTCCTCCCCAATGCTCTAACTACTGAGCTACCAGGTCCGGTGGCAGTCAAATTTTCGTCTCACCTTCAATCATCACCCGTTTAAATACTAGTCAGGTAGTAAAATCATAATCAATATGATGATCCCCCTCTCTAATTCAGTTACATTTGGATTGGGGTGAGAATTGCTGACTGGTGGGCAGTCAGTGTTAATACTATCCAGCGATGGTAACACGTCATGAACTCAAATGGTAATCTGGCAAAACATCGCTTGTGATTGAAGTGAAATGAAAGTGTGATCAACAGTGAGACCTCGTAACTCAGTTGGTACAGCGTCAAGCCGGAAACCCGCTGGCCGCTGTTCGAATCCGGCGGCAGTTCAAATTAAGATAGTACAAGTTTTAGAAAATATAGGGATAATAAAGAAAAACATATTTTCACATCTCCCTTGGTATTTAAATGAGATAAAGATTACCAGAGTCGGTTTAAGGTAAGGAAAAAATGTTTTTGAATACACGGACAAGGTTTGGACTTTCGTATGCCTAAGGCTTCAATGAATTTAAGTGCATGGTCTGGACAGTTCCTACGTAATAGATTGACCCCAAAACAGCCTTAAGACCACTGTATATGAGCCATTAAGATTGCATACTTAGTACAAGAGTAAAACGTGTGCACTGTGATAGATTACAATTCCATTCTAGTCTGTTTATTAGAAACATCACGCAATGAAACAATAATAATTACTGGATAATGTTTCGGACATAATTTATTTTCAATAAATTTTGAGGGGGTTGTGGAGATTTGGAAATATTTCAAGTTGTTATCGTAGACTGACATCAGTTGCAGGAACAAAGGAAACCTGGGAGCACTGGACAGCTGTTTCGTCCTAGTATGGGACACCTCAGCAGTGCGCACCCACCACCCCACCAGCAGGGATCGAACCCGCGACCTTCAGGTTCCGCGACCAGTCAGTCAGTCTTCGATGAATAACAACTTGAAATATTTCCAAATCTCCACAACCCCCTCAAAATTTAATTGAACTAGTGCTCATTGGTGACTAGCTTCGAGAAGTATTCCCCAAGTTTCAATGAGAAGTGGTGACCGGTGGAGTCAAAGCCTGATGGCCATGAGCACAGATACTCAGCGTTGACATAGTGCGGCGGTTGCGCTATATATCGTGAGCTAACAGAAGTTGGAAATATGGAGCATTGGATTCTGACCCAGTGGCTAGCTCAATGGTAACGCGCTGGTCGCGGAACCTGAATGTCGTGGCTTCGATCGCTGGTGGTGTGGGGTGGTGTGTGCGCACTGCTGAGGAGTCCCATACTAGGACGAAACAGCTGTCCAGTGCTCCCAGGTTTCCTTTGTTCCTGCAACTGATGTCAGTCTTCGATGAATAACAACTTGAATTATTTTCAGCAGTCATATAAGACTTTGAGACAGAGTTTATTTAGTCTTAATTTTCTCTTCTTCTTTGTGACAAAAGCAGTAAAATTTTCTATATCTATGGTATAGATATTGTGTCATTTATATTACATGTATTGGGTGTTGGTTGATTCGATGAACAGACATTCAGTAGTCAATCTCTCCCCACCTAATTATTTTGTTAAATATAAGTACAGTGGCTTTATCCCACCCTATTGTGTGGTTGTGTGTTAATGCATGTATTACAATAGCCGTCTTTCTTCTAGATTAGTGATCTTATTTCGGTCTGTCATTCTATATTTAGCTAAATTCCTATATTCCGCTATTCTAACTGACACCGGTCAACTAGTTTGACCTATATACTTGACCTCACAGTCATGGCATGGAATTTGATAGATTAGATTATTTCGTTTAGTTCTCATGATCGGATCCTTAAGCCAGCCGACAAAGCTTATCTCTGAGTGAATTTGTAGGTTGAAATGCCAGCCTAATTCCAGCTTTGTTGAGGATCCTACGTAAACTTTCTGATGTAGCACCCGTATAGGGTAACACAATGGAGGCTGTAAACTCCCTTCTACTTGTGTTGTCGTTATTATTCGTACTCGTGTTATTTTTGTTTTTTCGTTTCTTATGTACTCGTACAAATTTCTTAGTAAATGGTCGTGAATAATTTTCAGTAAGTAACGCTTCTTTTATGTGTTTCAATCCCTTGTTTAAGTCTTTACACTGACTAGTGAGCTTTTTCACTCTGTCATTTAGGCATCTGACTAAACGCGCCCCAACTGACATTGAATGTGATAACGCGACGTTTAGATACCTGTTAAAATGTGTTGGTTTCCTGTAGACGGTAGTATTCAAACCACCGTCAGTCCTACGTCTACAGGAAACAGACACATGCTAAAAAGTGTCTAGACTTCAGGTCATCTCATTCAATGTCAGTTAAGTCGGGTTTAGTCAAATGTCTAAAATGACAGCGCCAAAAACTCACCAGTCAGTGTAAGCAGCAGTTACGGTTTGAGGTTATTCAGGTGTGAATTGCCAAACCTGAATTCATGTGTAGCCTATAACAAGCGTTAACATGTTTATATCATTATCCTTATATACATTTGTAAACTAGTACTTAGAACAAGTTAGCAAAAGCAGTTTCTTAATAAATTTAGCATAAATATCCTCCCCTGCAACTGTATGTTAGGTCCCCTAGTAACTCTATACTATTTTACATAATTTGTGTTATAATTATTGGCAACTATTAAAGCCAAAAAAGTATACAGTAATCGGAAAAATAAGCCCGAGTTGTCAGTGTAACTTAACTGTACTGTAACACTGGCACTATATACAGTGGTTTCTTTGCTTCAAACAGGCGTTCAGAATAATCTGTTATCAAACGAAATGTGAAAAATTGAAATATCCAAGAAAAAAACAATTTAAACTAGTCTCTCTTAATTTACTAATTACCGATGCATGAAAATTCTTTCATATCACAGGTAAATTAGTTTGACCTATACGTTTTCAAAACTCAAATACTATGAAAGTAATTTGAGAAAGATACACAACAAAACTCTATCTGAGTAATTAAAATAGATTGTATTAATACCCAATGGCAACACAATATCTACATGGACGTCCTAAAATGATTTATTGTGTTTCACTTATCACTTTAAACTCCTGTGAATGTAATGAGCAACTCAAATTATTGGATAGCTATAGATTAACTGGTCTTGAAGTTTAAAATGGTAGTCAACCCTTTACCTCAACTTCGTAGACTTTAAAAAGGCCTTCGACAGTGTCAATCGAGAAGTAATTTGGTAACTGCTTCAACACTACGGAATACCACTAACCTTTATCAATCTCATTCAATAACTACATGAAGACGCCATATTGCCAAGTAATTCTCAATAGGAAGCTTAGTGATGCCTATGAAGTGAAGACAAGAGTAAAACAAGGCTGTCAACTATCACCAATGATATTCCTGAATGTGATCGACTGAATCATGCAACAAGCAGTGACGAGCGAGAAGAGGGGGATAAGTTGGACTGCAGAAAACAGTCTAGAAGATTTAGATCTCGCCAACGATGATGATTTATGTCTAATGTCACACAAACTTGAAGACGTACAGGTAAAAACTAACAAGTTGACAGAAGAGGCAGGCAGGGTAGCGAATACGGGACTTCAAGTGAACGTAGAGAAGACAGAGGTGATGAAGATACCCAACCAACACCACCACCACCAACAACAACAACAAGCTCCAATCAACATCAACAGGAGAAACTTGAAGGGAGTAGCCTCTTTCACCTATCTAGGCAGCACTACTTCAACTACAGGCGGCACATGCACAGATGAGGACGTCAAAACCATGATGGGAAAGACAGTAAGACAGGAGTTCATCAACCTGAAAACAGTGTGAAGGTCTTTGGCCCTCAACATAAAGAACAAGTTCTGGATTTTCGACACCAATCCAGTCAAGTCAGTGCTGTTATATGGTTCACAAGCTTGGCGCGTTACCAAAGGCATTTCCAACAAATTACAGACATTCATCAACAACTGCCTAAACTGGCTCTTTACTGAAGATTAGATGGCGAGAATAATAAGAATAAACAACAAGGAACTCTGACTGTCTGGCTGGTGACGAACCAACGAAGCAAGAATCTATCGCTCAACAAATATGCACTGGAAGGAAGGAAGTGGAGATTGATTGGGCATACACTGAGAAGGCCAACTGGGGACATCACGCACCAGGCCGTCAAGTGGAACCCAGATGGGAAACGGCTAGTTGATTGCTTGAGGCGAGGGTGACATGGTGAAGATAGTGTGAGGAAGAAATGAGAGGTTGCGGACAGTCGTGGAGTCAGGTTAAAAAGATTCTAGAGAAGAGAGTGCAGTGGAGACGTGCTACTGAATCCCTATGTTCCACTAGGAACCCAAGGGATAAATAATAATAACTGGTCTTGATGATGTTGTGTTCTCTCAGAT